GGTCTGGGCTGAGGTGGGGAGGTGGAGGAGTGGGCTATCAGGCCGCCCCTGCGTCCAGGGCTGTAGGTGGGCAGGATGCAACCTGTTGCTTGGAGGAGCTCTGCGCCCAGTTGGGACCCCCAGGCTCTGCCTCCAGTGGCAATGGCTTGGAGGCGGGAGAAGGCCGGCAAGGCCCTGCTGGGGCCAGGGCAGCTGGGCGGCTTGGCCGGCTTGGCCGGGCAGCTCGTGGAGCGCCCACTGTGCAGGCCACTGCTCCCTCCAGGCTGGCTTTCCTGCCTCAGCCTACCTGGCAGTGGGAAGCGGCAGCCTTGCACCTGTGAGGTGGGGGCCGGCCACCCTGCCGGTGCAGAAGGCCCACCCCTTCCCCCTGGACATCCAGCACAGGGGACGGGGGCTGGCTCAGGGTGGGCAGGAGGCTGGGTGCGAGTGACAGGGCTGGGGTTCGCTCAGGTAGGCGTCCCGTGGCGTCCTTCCTGGCTGGGCTCAAGCCCTGGGGGGGCCTTGGAGTCTGTGCGCACAGAGGGTGGGGACTTGCGCTGCTTCCTCCTCGCCACTTCTCCCCCAGCCCCCGCCTGGCTGGGCGGTGCCTCCCCTTTCCTGCCCAGCCCACTCTGCGGGACTCCTCTGGCCTCTTTCCTGGGTCTGGCCTCCAAGGACCCCAGTGGCCCTCTCGCTCCTTCCTGGGTGGGAGTGGAGGCAGAGGTGGGAGTGGGCACGGGGGGACGAGACCAGCGGGCCGCGTCTCGGGGGTCACCCTGGACGGTTCCGCGCCTCCCCGTGCGGCAAGGCCTCAGGCCCGCCCCGGGCATTCTGTCTGCAGGGAGGCTGGGCAGGGGTCTGGGGCCATGCCTCTCTTTGGGAGAGGCCACGGGAGTGGGGGGGGGGGACCGACACAATGAGGTAGTCACACGGGGCGCAGGCATGTTGGGGGTGGGGGGAGCCGACACTGGAACACACACACACACATGCTCGCACACACAACCGGCCAGACAATCGGGCCAGTGTGTCCGGGGCCTCGGAGCCCAGTGAATTAGGAGTTTGATAAGGGTTTTCTCTTTCTCTCACTTGCCGGCCTCGGACAATCCCCCCCAGTTTTCCTCGACGCCACCCCCGGCGCTGCCAACCCTCCTCCCCCCGCCTCCCTTCTCTTCCCTGTGCCCAGACTCTTGTTCGGGGCCTTGAAACAGTGAGCTGTCTTTGTTCGAAATACAGGTGAACGGCAATCATGTGATTAACACACACACACATAAAAAGCTTTTTAACAGCGCCCGCCCGGCCTCAGAACCGCCCAGAGAGGAGCCGCCCTGGATGGACAGAGGGACGAGGGACGCGCATCCAGCCGTCTCCGACACCCGCAGCTGCCCGCCCGCCCGTGCCCGCCTGCCCGGCATCTCTCGATCCCGGTGGGTCCCCACTCGTCCTTCCCCTCTGGTTCCTCCTCCCCGAGGGAAGGGCCTCTCTGCGCCCCGCGGTGTCTGGGGTCAGGCCTTCCACCCCCTGGGTGGGGTGGGGTGGGGTGGCGGAGGGGGCACAGATAGGGAGCGGCGTGGGGTCCCACGACCACTCCCCGCTCGCCTCCCTGCCCCTGCTGGCCCAGCGTGCCAGCGTGGGGGTGGGGGTGGCAGTGGGCTGCTGCGTGAAGCCACGACGCACAGAGGGGGCCTTTCTCTTCCCCTCCCTCTGTCGCTGCTTCCTCCCTCCTGTCTCCTCAGCGCAGTGCTGGGGCTTTCTGCTGAGAGGTGCTGGATGGGGCAGGTGGTCCTCAGGGGTGCTGAGAGGGCTGGGGGGTGGGGCCCTGCTGTGAACACACGCCCCCTGCCCACCACACTGCAACTGAAACTTCCATCCCACCCCAGGCCCTGGGGCCCAGTTCCCCAGCAGGGGAGGTGAAGGCCCATATTCATCCCTGGAGACCAGGGTTTTGGAGAGGGGAGGGGGCAGGCACCAGGCCCCCACCTTGGGAGGACAGCCAGGGGCCAGCACCACCGCCTGTTCCCTTCCCTGCCCAGGTCAGAGGGGCCCCCCTCCCCCCCATTCCTGCCCCTTCCCTGAGGAGGGTGGTGGCCCCCTCACCATACCCCCAACCTGGCCTGGCCTCACGAGGTGTGGTGACCGGTGGGTCCTGTGGCCTGTCCTCTCCCCAGCAGAGAGGGGCCCCAAGTGCGGCTAACGGCGGGGGCTGGCTTCCGGCCAGGGCGGTGTGGCCTGCGGGATGCAGGGCTTCCCTGAGTCCCACCGGGTTCACTTAAGGCCGGTCCCAGATTTACTCAGGATGGGTCCCCGAGAGGAAAGCAAACGAAATTCTGTCCAGCAAGTGTAAAGGGGACTGTGGTGACCGTCCAGGGGCTTGTGGTGACCGTCCTGGCAGAGCTGCTGTGGGTCAGCGTCACCCTTAACCCCTCAGCGCCCGGAGAGTTCTTGGGGCTGGCCCTGAGGGTGGAAGGCTCCCCTGCGACCCAAGCCCGCCTGTCACCTGGGCCACAGCCGCCCTCCTCCTGCCTCTCGGGCGCTGCTGCTCAGGAGAGCCTCTGCTCTAGCCTCAGTTTCCCGAGAGCGGCAGGAGACTCTCGCTTGACTCCCTCGAGGCCAGGGCCAGGGGTCGATGGGGGTGCAGGAAGGTTCATGGAGGGGCCTGGGTGGTCCGGGCTGGCTCCCGGCTCCTTCCCTGCAGCCTGCGCCCCTCACACCTCCCTGTGGTAGTGCCAGCAGCGGCCTGCACAGTGCTGGAGCTGGGTGCGCCCAGAATCCCATCCTGCAGTCTGGGGGCCGAGGCCCTGCGTTCCAGACAAGCCCCCAGACCCTTGGTTCCGAGCAGGTGGAGCTACGACGAAGGCCACCACAGACTGGCCGGGCCCGAGCTCCTGGGCCTGGGGTCCAGGCACGTTCTCTGGGGCCCTCGCTCTCCTTCTTTGGGCTTCCTGGCACCTCTGAGCCCAGCAGGCCCCACATTCTCCAGGGAGAGGGGGGTGGGGCTCTGAACCCCAGAACTGGAGCACGACATTGCACTGGGCAGGCAGGGAGTTTGGGGGTGTGGCAGGGGAGTGGCTGTGCACGGGAGAGGGGCAGGGCTGGGGGGTGGGCCAGGGTCAGGGAGACAGAAGCTTTGTTTGGTTGAGTTTGTGGGGGTGTCCTGGCCCTTCCTCCTCTGGACCGGGCTGTCCTCTCGGGTGGGGGTGGGCGTGCCGTGGGGCGAGCACTGGGCTGGCAGCCAGGAGACTGCCCCGCGTCTCCAGGTGGCGGGGCGAGTGACAGCAGGGACGCCCAGGAGCCGGGTTTTGCGGGGTGGGTGAGGCGTCCCTGCGCTGTCCACCCCCACGTCTGTCTGAGTGGACGGAGACCCAGGTCGCAAGCCCAGGTCGCAAGCCCAGGGTGCATAGTAGGTGCTCAGTAAGTCCGAGGAAATGATTTCGGAACTGGGTGGCGGGAGGGGCTCCCCCTTGGGGCAGCCTCGAGAAACCCGCCTGTTGAATCCCAGTTAGTGGGTGACTCACCTCTCCCGCCTGCGCCCCCAGAGCCTCGGGGCTCTGAGCGAGGCCTGGCCCTGGGCTCCTTTCCCTGCGCCCTTCCCATGACCTATGAGTAGGTGCTGTTATTATTCTCCAGCCAGGAGGGACACTGAGGCAGGGAGCGGGTCCCCATGGGCCGGGAGCACCCAGGGGTGGTGGGAGGTGTGGCCCCCGCAGGCCTGTGGACTTGCTGGCACCCCTAGTCCCGGTGCTCCTGGGCGCCTGGGCCACGAGTCTGCTGTTACTCTCCCAGGAGAGAGCGCTGGGGCTCCCCGCCCCTCCCCTCCTAGCCTGGGTCTCAACCGAGGCTCTCACTGGGCCGCCCATGCCTCCTCTGGCTCTTAGCCTCTCCCGAGCTGCATGGCCTCAGAGTCTCCCTGCGTGGACTTGCTTCAGAGGCCCGAGGAGGAAGGCTGGGGAGAGGGCCGGGCAGGGGAGGCCGTGTGCCGGGCAGGCGGCCTGTGGGCAGCTCTCTCCTCCCTGTGCCGCCGTTTTTGGTCCAAGCCGAGGGTCTCGGCCTGTGGCCAGGGAGGCAGCCCCTCCTCCCTGCCCCCTCTCTCCGGGAACAAGGAAGCCGGGCCAGGGCCCAGCCTTGCCCGGGGCAGCCTGGCCTCGGCCCTCTTCCTAGATGCCCTCCAAGAAGGAGGCTGCGCTTCCCTGGCATCTGGACCCAGCTGCCTTCCTGGGCCTGCCCTGGAGCGCTCGAGCTGCCTGCGTGGGCTTTGTGAGGTGTCCTGTGCAGACCTGGGCGAGGAGCAGGCGGGGTGATGGAGACCAGGCCCTGGCCCAGCGCAGGCCCTCCCCGACGGGGACTCAGTCGAGGCCCAGCCGAGCTTCCTCTGAGGGCGTTTCCAGAGTCCACAGCTCGTGGCTGCTTCTGGACAGGAGGCTGAGCCCTGGCCGGCGTTCCCAAGGTACCGCCCTGGGACCTTGACGGCTATTTCTGGGCTTGCGGGCAAGTCCATCGGGCGACCTCCGTCCCGCGGCTTCTTCATGGAGATGCGGGCCCGTGTGACACTCTCCAGATAGAAACGGCTCTGGCCTCAGAGTCTGATCCTCCCCATGTCCTCCCTCCTCCGGCTCTGTCCCCTCCTCCCCTCCTCTTTCTTGTCCTCGCCCCTCCCCCTCCTGCTTCTCTGCCTTCTGCCCCTCCTCCTCCCTCCTCTCCTCTTCCTCCTCTTCCCTCTCCTGCTCTTCTCCTGATTCTTTTCTTGACTCTGATCCTTTCTGTCCCCCATCTTCCTTCCCAAGAGCCAAGGAAGGAGGTAGGGTGCTCCCGTCAGGAGCACCTTAGGCTCTGTTCTCAATTGCTTGGCCGCTCGCAATCCCGGCACAGAGCCCCACACCCCCGGGCCTGCCCCTGACCTAGTGAACCATGGCCTGTCCATGCGCCCAGCCCCCCGCAGGACCCTGTCCGTGATGGTCTGTGCAGCGAGCTGGTCTTCCTGCCCCCCCGAAACGTGTAAGAGCACGAAGGACTTGCCGTGGGGAGCACGTGCAGGCCGCACGGGGTGCACCCTGGCTCCCCACTTACTAGCCGTGTGTCCTGGTGGGTGATTGAAACCTCTGAGGCGCTGTCCTCCCAGGTTGGGGGGGGACTGAGCCCGATATGTGTGTGACTGCTCGGGGAGTGCCTGGTGCCTTGGGGCTCCCCCAAGGGTGTCTGTGCTTGGCCTTGGGTTTGCCAGGAGTATCTGCTTCCTGCCCCCCAAGTCCTTATGCCCCTGGACCCCCACTCTAGCAGACTGGCTTCCTCTGTCAGTGACTAGTGCTTACAGTGGGTTTTGGATTTTTTTTCAAGATTTACTTTTGTTTATTCATGCATACAAGAACTGGGGTGCAGGCCAGAGGTGCGGGGGGCAGTGAGAAGATTCACCAGAGACAGAGCGGGAAGCAGAACAGACAGATGGACTGAAATCCACTGCTGAGGGGAGCAGCTGGGAGACAGGAGCGGTCAGCTGCGCCCTGGGGGTCCCTCCCGGGCCGGGGATGGAACTTGAGCTGCAGCGGCTGCCCAGCGCTGAGACTCACCCCCGCGCCACCAGGGAGGCCCCTGTTTTTGTGGAATCGGCCACTACTGTGTACAAGTCCCGTGTCCTTGTCCGGTCGTCCCTGTCACCTGACTTGCTGGGACGCCTTCGCAGCAACGGGCCATCATTCCTCCCGGCTGGTGAGCCTTGCTGGGGTGTCTTAGCACCTCACCTGTCCCAGGACCGTCCTCGGATGTTCTCTGTGGGGCCCCGGAGACCTGCAGGCAGGGAGCAGGGGCAGGGCCCTCGCCC